TGAGGTGGGAAAGGTCACTTTCAGCTGGGAGAGTAAAGAAAAGAGCTTCATAAAGGAGGTGACACCTGAATTGGGCTAGGAAAAAAATAAGGGACTTTAGCAAGCAGAGATGAGAGGGGGTAGAATCTTTTTCAAGGATAGAGAACAGCATAAAACAAAGCACAAATATGGTAAGACAAAAAGTGGAAAACAGTCCTGTTTATCTGAAACGTAAAGTTTGCAAAAAGAAGGAGTATGAAATAAAACTGGAAAGGTAGATTAGAATAAGATTTTAGGGGCCTTGTGCTTACGGGTGTTTTTGTTTTATTTGGTAGGGAATGGAAAGACACTGGAAGGTTTCTGTGATTTGGCAAATCTATCTATTTTCATTATTTTTAAAAATCTACCTTGGAAACTGTCCAGCTTACTCAGAACTTATTCTTTGCTTAAATCTGGAGTTCACTTCCTGGTGTTTTTGTTTGATCTTTATAAAGAATCAGGCAGTAATGATGTGATCAAAGTGATTCCTTGGGAAGCTTAATCAGCTAGTAGTTTGGAAGATAGATTGAAGAGGGAAAAGATTAGAATCAGGACAACCAGTTAGGAGGTTAGTTTAGGTGAGGTGAAATTTGATCCTGAACTAAGGTGGTTAGAGTGGAAGTAGAAACGAGGGAATGGATGGAAGATGCATTGGGATAGCAATATTGGCAGAACAGCATGGAGAGGAAGGAGAGGAAGAGAGAATATACAAAGATACTTTGAGGTTACACAGCCAGGTAACTAGATACAGTCATAGAATCATACATTTAAAGCTGTAAGGGACATAAAAGGTCTTGGAGGTACCACAAACAGAAGCAGGAGTGTTAGAAGGAAGGTCAGGTTTTGTGGGGAAGCTGACAAGTTCAGTTCTGGACACACTGAATTTGAGATATAGGTAGGCCATTTAGGTTTCCAACAGTTGGGAATACCAGGCCTGACTTCAAGGGAAAGGTTATGGGTGGACCTGGAGAGTCAGGAGTCATCTACAAAGAGGTAAACATTAAATCATAGGAGTGTAACAAATTTCCAAAGGAGAATAGCAGAGAGACAAAAGAGAAGGCGGTGTCAAGGATGAGATTGGAGAGACTACCTATGTTTGAGGGTGAGAGAATGTGGAACCAACAAATAAGACAGAAAAAGAATTAGAAGGGTGGAAGGAAAACCAAGAGTACTATACGAGGTATGTATCATAGGTATCATAAGTACTATCACAGAAGGCAAGGGAGAAGGTAATGAGAAGGAAGAAGAATTTTCAATAAAAATTATTCACTTTTTATGTTTACTACTCTAAGGTTTATAGACTATTTCTCTCACAAAAGACCTATGAAGCGGGTAGGGAAGGAGGGAGGAAACAGGCATTTATTAAGTGCCTATTATATACTTAAACACTTTACAAATATTATCTCATCTGATCCTCACAACAGCTCTGTGAGGTAGGTGCTATGATCCTCATTTTACAATTGAGGAAACTGAGGCAGTCAGCGGTCAAGTAACTTGCCCAGGGTTATTCAGTCAATGAAGCATTAAGCAATTATTAAGAACCTACTGTTTGTCAGGCACTTAATCTTCTGATTAGTACTGTGCTAAGTCACATAGCTAGTAAGTATCTGAGGCCAGATTTGAACTCAGGTCTTCAGGACTCCAAGGCCAGCACTCTATCCACTGAGCCACCTAACTGCCTGAAGAGTACCTTGTACTCTAGGTAGTAAAAGTAATATTACCTCAATTTTGAAGATGAGAAAACTAAGGTTCAGGAAGACAAGTTATTTGCCCCAGGTCACACAACTAGAAGTGGAAGGAAAAGGACTGAAACTTAGGCACTGACTCTGAATCTAGTGTCTTTCCCACTGTGCTATGCTGCCTGAACTCTAAATGCTGCAGAGAACTCAAGAAAGATGAAGACCTTTTTTTAAAGGTCATTAGATTTAGTGATAAGAAGCATTGGCAATTGTGCTTTGAAGAACATTTGTCAGAGTCCTTTGAAAAATCATAAAACAAGCTTTGGCAAGATGGCTGAGTAAGGAGCCATGTCCCCTTATCACTTCAAAACATCAAGAAATGTACCAAAAAGTGCAAGTACAAACAATAACAAAGAGAAAAAAGGAAAGAAATCATCAAAAGAAAACTCTAGAAAAAAAAGCAGAGAAATTGAAAAAATGAGTAAAGGCAAAAAAGACTTTTTAATTCAATGAAGGAATATTATGGGTCAAATGAAAATAAGGAGAAATGTAAAATAACAAGTAGTTATAAGAAAGTGAGTATTTAACAGTATAAAGAGGAAGGGACATAAAATGATAGTTTACAATAATATCAGGGTTAAAAGCAGATTTTTGCTTTTCAGATAGGGGGACCTGAATATTTTTGATGAGTGAGAGGGAATAAAAGTAGAAAGAAATAGAGTGAAGGTGCATGAAAGGGAGCAGGGAGCAAGGTCATGGAGGTTCAAGAGAACTTACTTGTAGATGGATTAGATTTGGAAGAGAGGAGAGCCATCTATTCCTCTTGGATTGGGGGATAGGATGTAGAAAAGATAGATGAGGACAGTGAGAAATTTATAAGGCTGGATGAGGCAAGGTGAGGGGGTTTATATTAGATGAAAGAGATGATGCTACATAAGAAGTCTGTTATGGTTGAAGAGTCGGTCATAACCTATAGGTCTTTGATAAAATAAAAAGAGTAAGGTAGTTGAGAACTAGGCATTCTAGTTGTGAGCTAGCCTTATAGTTGAAGCAATTCTAGCCTAGTACCTGAAAAGTAATTACTTAGGAAAGGAAGGGAAAAAGCCACTCTCGTCCCCTAGCATTGACCATAGAATGATTTTGTGAACTTTGGGAGATTTTGAACTTTCTAAATGAGTCATGGCTAAGGAGAGTGGTAGAAGCTAAGAAAAAACTAGACACTCTGAAGAAAGAAAGCTTCAGGATTCTACAAAGTGGCCAGCAGAAAGATCCACCATACATTGTGGGGAATTCAAGAAGGCCCCACAAGGCAGAGAAAAGGACTGATGGCACCAGAAGCTATGAGTTTACCCCTTTGACACTTAGGTTCTCTAAGCTTAAGCCCACTTCCCTGGACTTTTTATGTACTTGTGTGAGAGTATTGTCCTATTTGGAGATATTCTATACCAACTACTCTTTTATAGACCTTTCTAAAAGCTAATTATATTTGGCTAGTTAATTGATGTCAACTTAATAATCAAAATAGGATCACACCTGTGGGGGCTTATAGGTGATAATATTATGGAAACTACCCACAACTGCTTAAGGTTACCCTTTAAGAATCCTGAGGAGAGAAGTATGATCTGGGCTCTGGAGACCTACCTGCTGATCTAAGTGTAACTTGAGAGAGTAATCCCCTGATTATGTGCAATAATAAAGTGTTAAATGTTAATATTAGTTTCTACAGGGCTTTTCATTGCTGTAGGCAAAAGAAATCAATATTAGCAGGAATTTCAGAAACCCAGAATGGCAAAAGAGAAGATGGTTTTGGGCAAAGAGCTCTTTTTTTCCCTTTCAAATCACATTATGATGTTGGTCACCTGTTCTGCTGCCATATAAAACCCAATCTGTGAAAAAAAGATATCTACTATTTGTCTATATGGCCTAGACAAAACAAAGATTATCTTTTTCCAGTGATATAGGAGAAGCAGGATAATTTAGTGGATAGAGACAGCCTCAGAGACAGGAAGGGCTGGGTTGAAGTTCTGTCTCTGACACATACCAGCTGTGTGCCTCTGGGTACACACACTCTCAAATAATAAGCAAGCTGCAGAGAAGTTTCTGAAATGCTTTGGTAGAGGAAGATTCCTTAGCAGTCATTGCCTATGCCAATAAAATCATAGGACCTATCAAAAAAAAAAAAGAAGATATGGAAGATGTTTTTACAATAGCTCACTTCCTATGTAGCTGGAAAAGGGGAGATTTGTTTCAACATAGAATGAGAAAGGTAAGAGAGAGGCCACCCAAGTAGGTACACTTGGACCTCTGAGATCTTGAGTCAGAAGTCCTGGGTTCCATTGCTGCCTCTGACACATTATTTCCTCTGACTTTGGGTGTCACTTAACCCTTCTGAAACTCATTTCCTTATTTACAAATGTAAATAATAATACTTGCTCTGCCTACTTCATTTGGGATGTTTTGATGATCAAATAGGTTAACTTATATATAGTACTTTTTAAGCTATAAAACATAAAGATGGCAGGTTTTTTTACACTAGAAAAGCAAAAAAGAAGTCTTCTTACACAATGGTTAAAATCTCTGCAGAATTTGTGCAGCAATACAGACACAAATTACAAAGGGTGAGGGTTGTGTTATGAGCTTCATTAGAGACTGGAGAAGTCCTATTTGATAAAAATCACCAGTCCACCCAAGTGCCTAATTTATTTTGTTTATTTGGTCCTCTCAATAGCCATCAGAATGTAAAATGGCTATATGTTAGGTTTTGCTTCTTAATTAACTTATAATAATATGTTACTTTGCCAAAGTCTCTTATTCGGTGATGAATTTATTTGATGTTTGCTAAGTGGTGGAATAACTACAACCCAAAACTATTTAATAATTTTTAAATCACCTATCATGAGGGGAATAGGGTGCAGGAACCTTATTTGAGAGCCAAAGAAGAGAGTTTAAATATTTATTTTCCCCAGTCAACTATCTCATTATAGTTTAAATTCCTTCAGGGCAGGGACTGTCTTGCCTCATTTTGTATCCCCAGTACTTACAATAGTAGGCACTTAATAAATGTTTCTTGATTGATTTATTCACTAAATTTTAATATAAAATTTAGGTAATTGCTTTTTAGGAGCAGCAATGTTGCAATGCCTTCTCTCACTCCCTGCAATGCAGTGGTGCCATACTGAATGTGCATGCAGGCTCTCATATTGGATGATCTGTAAGTTGAAATAGGACCAGTTGTCTTGTGGATTTGGTTTCTATTCCTTTCTCAGCTTTTCACTCAGGTTGTGTCCCCAGGGTAGCACTTACCTCCATGTTCTTACAGAAAGTTGCATTGGTTCCAAAGAGGATCTGGCACTGTTCCTCCGCACTGTAGTGCATGCCAGGGAGTTTGTGAGGAAGTCGTACAGCATACTGACTTCTGGGATCTGTTACTAGTAAACACATGCTGACTTTTGACCTGAAATATTAAAGAATTAACCCAATATAAAGATATATATATGTAAAAATAAACTATATTTTGTAAATATATATATGCATATATATATATGACTATATTATATAGGCATGTATTTTTTGTGGTTTCTATTTCTCCTTTTTATTTCCTTTGAAATAGAGAAAAAACCATTTCCAAATCATTTCTCCCAAAAGGATCCAGGCACAGGGATACATTCTTTTCACTGACTGTGCTCATTTAGTTCTATTTCTTTCCTATATTGTAAAAGAGTCGATTTTCCCCTTTGAAATCTATGGGATCTCAGTGACTATGAAGAGGATCTGAGGATCAAATCAAGCAAACAAGGTTGATTTCCTTTTCATGGGGTGCTGAATAGCTTTGTTGTTGTTTTTTTTAAATAAAGAAAACATTTGAAATAGACTACTCTTTGAAATTTTTCTTATTAACAGTAGATATTAAGTAAGATCTTAGGGTAGGTAAAGTACAAGCAGAGATTGGTCTTGAGCAGGGTATTTTTGGTCTTTGAAAAAAAGTCAATACAAAATGAATGTTTAATGGCAACTCAGCCAATTCTATTCCCAGAGGTAATTCTGTTAACACAGCTGGTGGCACCATAAGCTAACCACATAGATAGGACAATGCTTTCTATTGCAGTTGGAAAATAGCTTGGTAGGATATTTTATAAAGGACTTCATGGGTTTTACCTGATTGAAAATGGAAGTATACAAAGAATGAAATGAAATGAAAGAACCAGAATAATTTATACAAACAACAACATTGTAAGAATAAACAATTTGGACAGCTTTAAGAATGGTGATCAATACAATGATCATTCCTGATTTCAGAGGACTGATAATGAAATATGATATTGATGATAGAGAGGTGATGGATTTGGGATGCAGGAGACATATAAATACATATAAATACACACACACACATATTTGTGTACAGCCTTTGAGGGAATTTGGTTTGCTTTACTATGCGTATGTTATAAGGAATTTGTTTTCCTTTTTCAATGTGATTGGGGGGGTGGATTAGAGGGAAAGAAAATAGGTTTCTGTTAATTTTTTTTAATAGAGAGGTAGGGGGCAGAGGGTGCTGGAGCCAGCTCATACTAGTTCATAAGAGATGATTGTTAAATTTTCAACATGAGCATTACCCTTTGGAAATTGGCAAATACTATTAATAGGGGCTTGATTGATTGGGTTCTATCAATTGTTTAGATTTTAGTGTTGGAGAAAAAGTTGATAAAGTAGATTAAACTTAAAAGTGTCTCATGTGTACATTTTCCCCCTCAGAGAGCGTGTTGTTAAAAATTTACCCACATACCCCTAGGGGAGGGTGGTGCTATTGATGTGGAGGGTTGCATGCACTTTCAGATGAGGTCACTGTATTACTAGTTTTACTTAACTGTTTCACTTTGTTGCAAGAAAACTCTAACAAAGTGGGGCTAATCTGTTAATTTTTGTAATGCAAGAACAAAACATATTAATGGAACTTAAAGTTTAAAAAAATTCTGTGAGATTTTTGTCTGTTTCCAACAAGGAAACAAAAACAAAGTTTTGGTGACATGAAATAGAACTGTAAAAAAAAAAAAAAAAGAAATCACCATCAACTACTTGAAGCTGAAAACCTCCTTAAAATCTGATTTCTGAGGCCAAGGAAAAAACAATGAAAACAAACTTCCTAAGACATTTCAAGGAAAAAAAAAATGTGCAGGCACGCAGATGTGCCCCACACACTGTCTTTCTGAAAGTTCCCTTACATTGCCAAGCCCAGTGTCATAAGATAGCACAAATTAACTAAAGATGCAAGTGACAGTCCCATATCTTGTTTCATTGACATCCATCCTTACATGAAATGTTTCAAGTGACTTTGAAATGCCTTACGATTCTTTTAAATGGTCTATCCTAACAGCTGTATGGCAGTAAAACATGTCATGTTAAGAATAACATCATTGATCATATGCCTTTACCACCTTCTTAATCTCATTATGACTGGAGATGAGAACTTCCCTCACTAACAGGGGAAACATCAAGATTGATATGAACAAGGCTGAAAACGATAAGATTGGGGTCTTGAACTACCGAATTTACTATGTGTTTATTGGTGGGTTCCTTGCAACATTTCTATGCTTGACTTTCCCTGTTCGTGAAAAAGGGATATTAACTGTCTCCTAGACAGTAAGAATAAATGAGGTCCAATAGTGAACCTCCTGATCCATTCAAGGAAGGGTGCTACATGCTTAAAGCACACACTTTTATCTATCTTATTAAGTCCGGCTAAACCAGAAATCACTACATTTCTGGAACAAGTTCCAGAATGAGGTTTTGTGGGAACCAGGATGCCAACATGGAAATATACATTGCATCATAAGGAGGTTGTCATGGCTTCATCCCATGGCAAATTCTTCAAAGGAAAACCAAGAATGAAAAGAGTCTTGTTTCTTTTCTGAAAAGGGGAATCAGAGTAATCTTCCTATCTTATGTTGCACTCAAGGGAAGTAGTAAGAGCACCATGATTTACAACTACAGTCCCTTTAAAATGAATATTAAATGCAGCTATGAAAGCTTTAGGGTGGAAATGGAGGTGTCTTTTGTTTGTTGACATCACAAAGTTACTTAGCTACTCATTCTGGATTTGCATGTTTTTAAAACACTAATGGGATGGGAATTTTTTAAAACAGTATCATCAGGGAGGCAGCTAAGTGGCACAGTGGATAGGGCACCAGCCCTGGACTCAAGAGGACCTGAGTTCAAATCCAGCCTCAGACACTTACTAGCTGTGTGACCCTGGGCAAGTCACTTAACCCCAGTTGCCTAAAAAAAATATTGTTAGGCTGAAATTTTCAGTCATTCAGTGGGTGTTTTGGTGCTTGTGAGCTAGGTACTAGGAATATAAGTACATTTGAGATAATAGGCTGTCTAGTTGTCTGCACAATGTTTTCCTTTGTCAAAGATGTGAGAATATGAAACAGCTCTTCAAAGTGAGATGCATCTCAACTTTTCTTGAAGTCAATTCTCACATTTTTTCCTTCTCCCTACAATCTGCCTAAAGATTAGATTTGGGGTACAACATCTTTGTTTTTAGAAGTATCTTGTGTCTTCAGTATTATTTATGAAGGGCTTACTTGAGGAAGTTTTCAAGGTCATCTCGACTGCAGGAAGACCATGAGAGGTCACTGGGGTTTCTGCCTTTGACCCATTCTCCAGACATTATATGAGATCTCCCCGCACAGGATAAATGGTCATCATCATGGCTCATTCCCATGCTATTCAAAGAGAAAGAAAGAGAGAGATAGTACCACAATATTTACAATTCAGATGGCATTTAATAATTAATTATATAAATAGTCTTTTCAAAAAGATAATTTTATGTTATGTAGAGTCATGATACAGCAAATCAGCTTGAGATCTCCATAAAGTGCTGGCCATAATCTTATGGAGGAATTAACATTGTTATCATATTCTTATTCCCAGGATAGGTAAAGAAGATTGACTGTGATAGAATCTTGCATGTCACAAACTCCAGGCTTCAGAGGGCTATTGGGATAAAGCTATATTCGTGTTTATGTAACCCCTGTTTCAAAGCCCATCAGTCTGGAACTTTATTGGTGGAGACACCACCCTGAGTAAGGGGGGGGAGGGGTGGAATTGGAGAGAAATGAGAGCTTCAGTTCTCAGCCAGTCCCTTTTGGGAACTCATCATTTGGGTGCGCTGCTTTGAGAAAGAAGATAGAAGACGCCAACCCCACTTATGGATGCTGAAGGAAAAGACCATGGGGAGATATGAGTGGAGTGGACAATCTCCATCATGTCATTCTTTTCAGTTTGCTACTCTAGCAACCTTGAGGAGTTCCCCCTTGGGTAAGATCCAGGACCCTCTCTCTTGGTTTAGCTGAATTATCTCACTCCCAATAAGAGAATTCCTTCACTCAGTGTTTTCTGGAATATATTCTTCTACATAGGCCTTCTCTGATTTCTGTTCTGCTACAATTTGGATAAATGGAATTCTTTGCTACTTTCTATGTTTGTTCATTGTATTGTAACTGGTATTAGAAAGTAAAGGGGTCAAACCTTGGATACAGAGCTTCCGTCCAACCTGACAAAGTGATAAAAAATTAGATGGAACCTGATCACATCCCGTAAATGAACGATATCTAAGGGAGCAGAAAGATATATATCTAGCCCAGTATCCCCTTTCTCTGAAGAGAGCAGAGTGGTAGCCTCCAGCCTCAACCTCTTGCTCCCCTCCCTTGAAGAAGGGTGAAAAGAGGCTACAGATGTCTATTCTATTTCCCTTTGAGCCACATAAGAGCATCCTCCCCACCATAAGTGGAACTCTCTATACATGAAGGATGCACTCCTTAATTCTACTTCCTTACATTTAATTCTCACACATGAATATGTCAAAGGATCACAGTGCTAAAAAGTAGCATTCATAAAGGTACAACTAAAAACATGAAGAAATAGATATATAATTTTAGTATCCTAGCCTGGGCTTATCTAGGCCATTCACATGATTATTTCTCATTTCTGTTCCCTTCCTCATGTTTTGTTTACTTATACTGAGCAAATAATTATTTAAGACTGATCAATGTGGACCACCAAACCTGAAAAATTCAGGTCGATATCTCAATATTTTCCCCCAAATCTCAATATCTATATATCCCCTGAAAATGTTCTTCATTTCTTATAGTTCTGTTTTTCCTTTGATAACTTTTGAAGGAATTGACTAATTAACAACATTTGTTAAAGTTATTGAGATACTTTAAATTTGATCTGGGGTTTGGTATATATCTTGAAATGGAGTAATGTTAAAGTTTTCAAATGGAAATGTCTATTGTAAATTTTAATTGATTTTACTGAAATGTGGTCAGTATGCAGAGGTTATAGACATAAAAAGCCTCGATAATAAAGCAGTCCACAACTTCAAAATAAATAATGTGCCATTTTTAGCACTCATACAAGACATATTAAACTATATTGTTATGAGTTTTGGTTAATTGCCCATTTACATCACAATGTATTTTCAGATATTATGTTGATCATTCTAAGTGAGGTCTACAATTCATAAATTCACTAATTTATCCATCCTGAATAAATAACTTAGCTTTCTACTTCACTCTTACTTGGATGGACCCAGTCTTAGAAAATTCAGTGCCTTCTTGAGTCTCTGAAATATAACATTTTAAAATGGAAAGAAGAAAAACCCTTATTAAAAGAGAAGGTGGTGGAGGGGGGAAGACTACTGCGCCTTTTATTCCAAACCAAAAGTCTTATTTTGTTTTGTTTCTCATCATCACCAAGAATAAACCAGATACAAGAACAATTTGGTTACTGTTCTCTAAAGGAGTTTTCTGTTCAGACTTATAGTACTAGCTTACCTGATCTAGAATATTTGACACCTAAATTTCTTGATCAATGTAAAACTCTTTTCTCCTGAAAAATGTTTGCCATTCAAAGCAAAAGAGTTAAATTTAAGCTTTAAAAACTGACTGTACCTAGTTCATCTGTTTTATTTTAAGGGGGGAAAATTCAATAAAAATCTGCATGTTTGTTTAATAGACATTATATCAAGATTCTTCAAATTACCTTCATGCTTCATATCAGTAACTCTACTCCTCCAAGCTAGACTTTATAAGATATTCTTCCTTACTACCCACAGTCTCTTCTGGATCTACAAACAATCCTTAACTCAGCTCAAAAAACAAAAACAAAACCCAAACACACCCAAAACCCTTCTAAACTTTGTAGACTACCAACTTTACCTGAGAAAGAAAGTGAATACAGTAAGAAGATGGTTTAGGTCATAAAAAGAGTGTGTCCCATAGTCTTTTCTTCTCCGAGTTTTAGGAAACATCTATCTGCCTCAGAAGGATGAGGAGTCATCACGTGATTAGGAGGGAGGGAAAGGCTAGATTTTGGTTTAGAAACCATAAGCAAGGGTCAGATTAGGTACTGGAAGAATATGATTTATACACATGCACCCAGATACATAAGGGAACTTTATAACTATTAACATTTTTTCCTTTGGTGGTCAAACTTCTAATAAAATCAGTCACTTCGTGACTGCCCAAGTTTCTTAATGTGCCAGAACATTCAAACCAAAGACCTAAAGATAATGACTCAAAGAAGCAACTGACATTTATAAAAGCATCATTTTTTATGTACTACAGCCTCCATGATTACATACCCCTGACAAGAGATTTAAGACTAAAAATGTTATCTTAGACTAGAGTTTCACCTCATAGGTCTTCTGAGAAGGATTTCCCTTAGGAATGTTCCAGTCATTAGAATCAGTAAAGTGAGTGGGATTCTTAGGTTTCTGAAGCTAGCCTCTAATATATATCATGTTTGATCTGGATTAAGATGTTCAAACCTTAAATGCCTCATAAATTTGCAGTTGTGATGAACTTGCATTGGGCTAAGAATCTTGATACTTGAGGTTTATATAAACTACTATTTATACTATTTTTAGTTTAAATTAAAGATTACATGACTGAAAATTGCATATTATTTTAGGTCTATCTCCAGGGGCATCTATTATTTCTGGCAAGATAATATTTAGCAAAAACTTTTTAAGTTAAGTGGACCACAGTAATTTTCATTTGAAACCGCTATGGGTTTAAAATACTCTTATATGCCCTGCACAGACAACATTGTCCAGATTTGCCAGACGCAATAAAAACTTAGGAGTCTCATTTTGATTTTATCTTCAAACACAATGACATGTGGTTTGTATAAATGATGTCAACAATTCTGATGCATGCTATGGAGTTGATTTAGTAGGATGAGTGCTATGGAGTTGATTTAGTAGGATTCAGGGAACACCACAACAATGATAACAAAAACAATAGCAACAATTAGCATTTACATAGCAATGTTTGCTTTGTAAAGCACTTTGACTCATTTTATCCTCAGAACAACCCTGGAAGGTAGGTGCTATGATTATTATCTACATTTTATAGATGAGATAACTGAAACAGAGGTTAAGTGATTTACCAAGGATCATATAACTAGAAAGTGTCTTTTGCCGGATTTAAACTCAGGCCTTCCTGACTCCACATCTAGCATTCTATTTGCTGTAGCACCTAGCTGCCCGTCTATTCTTCACTTTATTTCCCAGTGATAAGAAGGGATGGCCAAATCTTTATGAAATAGTAGGACCACAGATTAAAAGCTGGAAGGGACCTGTATGGGTTGTCTAGTCCAAACCTTCTGACTCTCAATTTTGCAGATAAGGTAACAAAGGTCCAGAGAAATATGTAACTTGTCCTAGGTCACATGATTAGTAATTTGAAGAATCAAGATTTGAGCACCAGTCTTCTCCCTCCAAACTTGGTGCTACTTTAACTATATGATGTTGTGTGTCAAGAGTAAATATTTTCCCATCATTTTTTAAAGCTAAAATTTTATTTGACTATAGTAATCTACTTTTTGATAAACCCAAAGACTCCAGCTTCTGGCAAAAGAACTCAATATTTAACAAAAAACTGCTGAGAAAACTGGAAAATGGTATGGCAGAAACTAGGCATAGACCACCATCTTACACCATATACCAAGATAAAGTCAAAATGGGTACATGATTTAGATATAAAGGCTGATACTATAAGCAAAGTAGGAGAGTAAGGAATAGTTTACCTGTCAGATTTATGGAGAAGGGAAGATTTTATGACCAAACAAGAGATAAATAACATTATGAAATGCAAAATGGACAATTTTGATTACATATAATTGAAAAGATTTTGCACGAACAAAACCAATGCAACATGATTAGAAGGGAAGCAGAAAACTGGGAAAGAATTTTTACAACCAGTGACTCTGATAAGGGCCTCATTTCTAAAATATATAGAGAACTAAGTCAAATTGATAAAAATAGAAGTCATTCCCCAATTGATAAATGGTCAAAGGATATGAATAGGCAGTTTTCAGATGAAGAAATTAAAGCTATCTATAGCCATATTAGAAAATGCTCTAAATCACTATTGATTAGAGAAATGTAAATCAAAACAACTCTCAGGTACCACATCACACCTATCAGATTATCTAACATGACAAAACAGGAAAATGATAAATATCAGAGGAGATGTGAACACTAGAACACTAATGCATTGTTGGTGGAGTTGTAAACTGATCCAACCATTCCAGAGAACAATTTGGAACTATAGCCAAAGGGTTATAAAACTGCATACCCTTTGACCCAGCGATACCACTTCTAGGTCTGTATCCTAAAGAGATCATAAAAATGGGAAAAGGACTTGTGAGGGAT